TAATCCTGGCCTGGGACGAGCATTGTAGGGTGACGAAATTTGCTGCTGAGTCGGGGATCCTTGGAGCTTGTGCCCGTACTGCTGATTGGGAGGCCGAGTGTAGGATAGAGCATTAAACACTGCATATTGTGGTGGGCCCATGGAGTATTGAGGAATTGGCGGGGGATAATAATGTTGAGGGTAGTTGGATTGCCCCTGCTGAATTTGCACATAAGGGTATGATGCCCCTCTTTGAACTTTTCTGGATCCCGAAGTCATCATGGACCCTTCATCTCTTTTCTTTCTATTTGCCATACTTCCCGAGCTATTTTGGATCACCTGAGTGGTGGCTTTGAGAGCGGCTTGACTTACAATTCTGCCAGTCTTGAGGCCATTTTCGACCATTTCCCCTATCTTGATTGCTTCTGCAAAAGGTCTACCCCTTGCGGACATCATGTTTTGGAAATAATCAGGCTCTTGAGCCTCTAGAAAACAGTGATCAACTCATGGTTATCCATTGGTGGCTTAACTCTAGCCGTTTGCTCCCTCCACTTGATGGCATACTCCCTAAAACTTTCGGTCGGCTTTTTCTTCATATTGGACAAAGAATTACGATTCGGCGCAATATCAATATTGTACTGAAATTGTTTGACGAAGGCCTGGGCCATGTCATCCCAAACATGCCAGTGAGAGATATCTTGGTCAATGAAACATTCGGAAGCTACCCCCACAAGGCTTTCCCCAAAATAAGCCATCAGCAGCTCTTCTTTTCCTCCTGCATCCCTCAGCTGGTTGCAGTACCTTTTCAAGTGGGCGATAGGGTTGCCGTGTCCATCATATTTCTTAAATTTTGGGGTCTTGAAACCCTCGTGGCAAAAGGATGTGAGGGAACATGCATAGATCACTGAATGAAACACTTTTGTGACCACCTAGTCCCTGTATGTTCTTTATATTCTGTTCAAGACTTTTTATTTTCCTGGCCATCTCATCTGGCTCAACCGTCGTGGCAGGCTTTTAATTTTCCACTGGTGACTCGTATTGAGGAGTCTGATTGTATGGAGCCGAGACCCTGAAAGCCATATTTGGAGAATAGTATTGGCCATCATAAGATGAGATGGTGGCTCATCGTTAGTATGAGATGGTGGCTCATTGTTTGGCCTCGTCACAGGAGGTGGTGGCGGGATTGTATATACGGGTGTGCCAGACACGACGAGAGGGGTGTTCCTGACCGGTGCGACTGGAGGTCGCA